CGCAACCGACTGTTGCTGGGACTGGGCAATTTTTCGTCCTTTGTCCCGGTGAACGCGCTTGGGTTCCCAACAGTAAAGCCGGCATTGTGTCACATCACGTCACAGTGTAGAGAGGAGGTAAATAATACTTTCTTCTAAGTTACCTAGCCTTTATGAATTTAAGCACAGTAGTAGATTAGCAACAAGATCTCATCATTTGACTGTGGAATTAGATAGATGTAACTGTAAGTTCTTTGCTAAAAATTTCCTCTCACACACTTCTCGATTGTGGAAATCTCTTCGGGCTTCTTGATTTAAAACCAAGTTTGATCTTCAAAACTTTAACTAGAATGTCAGTCGTTATCTCCAGTCTTTTTGATTCCTGTTCTTTTATTGTTCTCTCTCCTTAACAAGGTTTTCTTTTTCTTATTCTTTCACACTCATTATCCCCTTATGTAACCCAAGATTGGCTTCCATTGCTTTGCGTGGGGTGAATTGATAAAAAAGAAAAAAAATTACTTAAACATCATAGAAATTTTGTGAATTATTTCTTTATTTGTTTATCGCTAATGTTTGCGTCGGTGTCGTACCTCTGCGAGAGAAAACTTTATAACAATATCAGAACCGACATTTAATCGATTTTTACAAACATTTCGGCATAAAAGATAAGATAAAAATTGTTAACATTTATTCACAGGTAAAATAGCTGTTATCTATCTATGAGTTTGCGCATGTATTTGTTATAAAAAATAAATATGTATGTATATATGCTTATGCGTATGGACGTATGTATGTGTTTATATATGTATATATATATATATATATATATATATATATATATATATATATATATATATATGGGTATATGTATATGTTTGTGCGTAGGTATACTTTTGTATGTTTCTATCTGTAGTGAAGAATGTGTGCACACATACGTCTGTACGTATTTTTTTATTTTCTTTCACATATTGTTATATATTTGTACTTGTGTATGTGTACTAATACGTATATAAGTATATGTGAGATATTTATATATATGTTTGTGTTTCGGAGTTTTCTTTTTTATATATTAGATACTGTTATTTTTATGCATATATATTTATTTTTCTATCCATTTCTGTATATTTTAGTGTCCTTTTTCCTTATGTTGTTCATTGTTGAATATTTGTTTTTTCTATTCTACCCATATTAAACTTTATCTATTCAACCATTTTTCTCTCTCTCTCTCTCTCTCTCTATATATATATATATATATATATATATATATATATATATATCTTTGCCCGTATAAGTTATATTTAAATAGTATGTTAGAATTCGTTTATTAACACTTTCAAATTTAATATTTCTTGGTGGGTATATGTGCATGTCTTTATCAATGTATGTGTGTATAATCGCTTATATGTGCCTTTCATTGTATGTATATGTGGTCGTTTTTTTTAAGGTTCGTGGACACCTATTTCCTGTCTCTTCTCTTTTTTGCGTGTTTATATATCTACGTGTTTGTGTATTATAATCTGATTGTGTATATATTGTCTTTTGCAAGATTTCATCGTCCTTTTCTCATACCTTCACTTCAAATGTATCTAAGTTGTAACGAAGCTTAGTGCAACACTAGATTTAACATTTATTCAAACTTAATTTTTGACCTTTCAATAAAAACAAAATAAATAACAAAACATATGTATTTTTTTCTTCATTTTCTCCTTTAAATAATTCTATAATTTTTTAAACTTAATATAGATTAAATTTAAAATTGGCAATTTTTAATTTTAAATTCTATAGTATAATTTAATATTAATTAGTTAGAATGAATTCTATTTTAGCCTAACCCTAACATTAAAGCATTAAATAATTATTATAACCAAAGTCCGTTGTCAAGTTTTTTGAATTCTCATAAATATGTATTTTGATTGGTCATTCCAGCTTATGTAACAGCGTTCCTCCTAGTGAGGGATGTTAGACTGATTTGAACTTTTTAAAACCCTTTATTCTACACTCAACGCCATCACTTGATAAGACACCAGAAGTGTTGAAACAAAATGGCTATTTTAATAGTGATTTTATAACATGTTATAATTTTCGAATAAATAATTATATTTGCTCTACTCTGTATAGAGCACTCTTTTAAGAATATTATTTTTGGGTCATCTCATGACAGCTTAACCCGGACATTATATTGCATTTTATTGCATGTGTCTGCCGAGAGGCGTGTTCTGGCTGGTACTGACTGTGATCCGGAGACGTTAAACTCCGCGATAATAACACATCAGGACTGTCGTTCGGAGTTTCCGCGGCAAGTCTTTTGCACCGTTACTTTTTATCAATAGATCCCAAAAGTGTGTATGGTCCGACACAAGCCTTCACCACTTGAAACAAATCATTGTGTTGGTTTTCTGGCAACTACATCTAATTGTAGTTATACACATATCTGGCTACTGTGAAAAACTCTACGAAACAACAGCAACATCCTTTTGGCACTTGGAACGTACAAACTCTCTAGGACAACAACTCAGCACCAGAAAGAAAAACAGCTCTGGTCACATTGGAGCTAAAGAAGTACAATATTGATATAGCTGCACTAAGAAGTAAGCATCAGTAGATGACATAAAATGAGATAGCAAAATAAGACATTTAACAGTGTTCCTGCTGCACTTGGATACAATACATTCTCCTGTACTGTTTGTGGTCTTTTGTGCAATTCTCGAGCCGGTCTCAGAAGTCATGACCGTTATAGGCATGCAGATAATTAGTTCGTGGTCATCGGAACCTCATACGTCGAACTCGATGGGAGAGTCTATCATATATATATATATATATATGATAAATTCTCATTAATTGTGTAGCTAGAGTTTTAACTTAGCTGGTCTCATTCAACTTTCGATTGCTTTTTATTTCTATCTATATTGTTTTTAATGATATCACTTTATAATAGCAGTAGTTGCCTACTGAAAAAAAGATATTTTGTATGATCCTGGACGTAATGATAACTATAATCTTCAAATATTTGAATGTAATATCAATCGACATCTTCTGATACCTTGATCACCATTCTTCCCTTTATCTTTTTCTCAGTCCTCCCTTATTCAGCCTTTTCACTTATTTTCACTCTTTGTAGTCCCTTGCGTACTACTGGCACCCCCTCCTTGTTTAGAGCGAAATGCTTAAAAAAATACATGTATAATACTGAAATCGTTAATGGTCAGAATTGAATAAGACCAGGAAACTTTACTATTAAAAAGTGATCAATGCATGTGTGGAAAATTAAAATAAAAATTTACCATATAAATATATATATTTTTAAATAAAAAAAATAGATATCAGCCGATTCCGGAACCGACTGATCTAATTCATATATATATATCCTCACACTTGCTCCATATGTCTTAAATACCACTTAAGATGATCGCACAAACTTTCATAACTGAATCAATAAGCTGGCAGATCCTCATACGTCGAAACCGACGGGAGAGTCCATTATATATATATATATTATGTTTATACATTCTTTTTATAGATGGTGTTTATCAATCCACCCACGGGGATCGAATGTGGCACAGGGCCTTTTTAATGTGGGTATGTCTGAGCCCGTAGGCCCAGCCAAAAATAAAACCCATCTAAACCCGTCCAAGCGGGCTAGTTCCGTCAACCTCCCCGAACGAAACCCCACCCTTCGGCGGAGCTTCGTCCGGATTCCCCTCTGCAAGCAGAGAGTTCGACAGACACCCGACCCGGTAGCTCACAAAGCGCAGATACTACACTTTGATCCTAGCCACCGAGCCGAGCGGGTATTCTTTTTATAGATACAAATATTTAAGTAAATGTTCTGTTCATAATAAACAGTATTAAAGAACATTTACCGGCTTGAATGTCCGAGAAAATTTCACAGGTCTGCAAATGTTGTTTAATACGGTTTATTATGAACAGAACATTTACTTAAATATTTGTATCTATAAAAAAAAAAGAATGTTAAATATAAAAATGTCTTAAAATAATTGTCAGACTTTGTCCATTTCATATTATATATATATATATATATATATATATATATATATATATATATATATATATATATACGAATTATATATATATATATATAGATATATATAGATATATTAGAATATTACGTCGAAAACATATCAAAATTATTATACAATTGCAGTCGCGTTTCGATGCGTATCAAATGCATCTTATCAGACGACTGTAAATTACAAGTGAACGATTTATTTAATGAGAACTAATAGAGTACAATTCCCTTACAATTTCCATCTTATCTGGATACATACATATATATATCTACTAGCAGCATGGCCCAGCGTTGCCCGTGATTGATTCAAAAATCGCTATCACTTGACTTAAAATATTTTTGCCCTTCCTTGCCTTTAAAGAAGTGCCCTTTGCCATGCTGATGTTGCTACATGCCTTACTCCTTGCCTATCTCACACTGTGAATTTTTTCGAAGCTCTATACTAAACATTAAATCTGTTACGAAAAAAGAACTAAACAAAATGAACACAAAACGATCAGCTTTAAAAAAGGACTCGTAACTGGAAAAACCGAATGAAAAAAGAATGTTAACAACACTACTTTTTCACATCAAACCCAGTTCTGTGGAAACAGAATCAGCATTGAGTTTAAGCAAGCGAATGAGCCAATTGGAGTAAAGTGCAGATTTAAATTTTTCCCACTTGTGACGAATGCAGCTATCGATTTTTTTTGCATGCTAGCATGCTAGTTAACATTCGTTTCAGTCATCTGTTGGCTCTCACGCTGGCCAAAAGAATCTTCCTGCCTATTCGTGGCAGCCAGCTATAGACTCTCACTCTAGCCAGTAGAAAATGGCCGCAAACTACATGAAAACTGCTGTAGAAGCATGAAAAAATCGATTATTTCGACTATCGATGGGAGTTGGGAAATGCAAAGTCGGTCTTGGCCTTCCCGCTAACTTGGAGCATGTGCATGTAAATTTTGGTGCAAATCCGTCGAAAATTGCGGCCGTGCATCCTACCTTTTATAGATAGAGATATCTATCTATCTATCTATCTATCTATCTATCTATCTATCTATCTATCTATCTATCTATATATTTGTTTTACTAATATTCACCCAATACAAGCCATACAAACCACTTCATTTTTGTGTAATTTAGATAACAATTTATCGATCGCAAACTGTAATTATTATATCGTATGAAGGCAATGCATATTCTATTTTTATTTTGTTTCAATAATCATTAAGTATTGAACGTAAATAAGAACATTTAGAGAAAGATAACGTTTTCGATATTTTATAAGCATATTGTAGATTTCAAATTCGACCTGCTGATATTTTTTGTCAATGCTTAGAAACTGGTACGTATACAATTAAAAATGATGTTTTAAATTGCAGTAACGGATTGTGATTATTATGACATTTATTCATTTTCTTTGTTTTCACCTGTGGGAATACTAATTGGAAATGTCATTTTCGATCTTATTTCAAGAAATTACAAACAAACTGGAGCATTCAAACGAATATCCCTATCAACGGTTACTGTTGGCACCTCTTTTTTTTTTTTTTTTTACCTGGTACTTAGGTTTAACGTTTCAACTTCTCTTCTCCTATCACTTGTTATCTTTCGATTCCAAAACTTCCTACTTGTCTGCATTTCTAACCCTTTTCTCGCCCCAACTCCTGCAACATCATGTAAAGCCGCCCAGGGGCATTCGCTCTGATGAATTCCATAAAACTGCTCTTGGTAACTACAAACTAAAAAAAAACGAGAAAAAAAATGCTCATTCGAAAACTTTAATTTAATTACATCTGACAGAAACTCGAAAATCTGAACCAGATTTTCCTGAAGGCTTTTTATTGTTTTATTTTTATCTTAATTTCTCGTCGGCAGACCCGGATACGCTGTATTTTTTTGTATTTTTTTCTTTGTGGAACCTGACAGAAACTACAGGAAGATGTCAGTTGCCGTAGAGAGACCTGCGTCATTGGTTTAAATAAATGGAGGCTAAAATCTTTTCGTCACAACTGCGACCATTTTCTGAACTAACTTTTACTTTTCAAACACTGTCTATCTATTATATTTGTCATCTTACCCAAGCAAGGCAATAAAGCCACTAAGACGCAAAAGGATATTGCGTTTGAGAGAAAAAGGAAAAAAACAATGTTAAGGGGAGAAAACTCTAAAAGAACAGGAATTAAGAACACTGAAGATAAAGATTTACATTGCATGTAAATTTTTGAAGGTCAAATTTGACCGAAAAGCTAAAAAACAGGAAAAGTGTTCCACAAAGGAAAAGTGTGAGAGGAAAAATTGTTAGCATAAAAATTAGGGTTACATCGAGTGTAAGATGAGGTACTGCCCTTAAATTCATAGAGTCTCGGTACCAAAGAAGAAACTACTAATCAGAAAAATTACCTTGAAAATATTTATAGAAAAGGGCAAAAGGAGCATTCCTATCTATCTATCTATCTAGCTAGCTAGCTATCTCAGTCTGCTCATATCTATCTATCTGAATCTGTACATATCTATCTATCTGAATCTGTACATATCTATCTATCTATCTATCTATCTATCTATCTATCTATCTATCTATCTATCTATCTATCTATCTCTGTTCATATCTATCTATCTCTGTTCATATCTATCTATCTGAATCTGTGCATATCTATCTATCTATCTATCTATCTATCTATCTATCTATCTATCTATCTATCTATCTATCTATCTGTTCATATCATCTATCTCTGTTCTGAATCTGTGCATATCTATCTATCTATCTCAGTCTGTTCTATCTATCTATCTGTTCATATCTATCTGTTGTTCATATCTATCTATCTGAATCTGTGCATATCTATCTATCTATCTATCTATCTATCTATCTATCTATCTATCTATCTATCTGTCTGTCTGTTCATATCATCTATCTGAATCTATCTGAATCTGTGCTCTGTTCATATCTATATCTGTTCTATCTATCTATCTATCTATCTATCTATCTATCTATCTATCTATCTCTGTTCATATCTATCTATCTCTGTTCATATCTATCTATCTGAATCTGTGCATATCTATCTATCTATCTATCTATCTATCTATCTATCTATCTATCTATCTATCTATCTATCTTTGATCATTATCTATCTATCTATATCTGTTCTATCTATCTATCTGAATCTGCATATCTATCTATCTATCTATCTATCTATCTATCTATCTCGTTCTTTTCATTATCTATCTGAGGAATACAAATACAATTATTGACAATTTTCTGTCGGAAGACTTTAAATATTTGTATAATTAAAGACTGCAATCAATGAAAATTATCGCACAATTACCAGAAATTTGATAAGCGATGTTTGCAACTCAGCTGTAGTAATAATAAAAACGAAAAGAAAAAATAATTAAAAACTAACCATAAAATTAGTGCAACGCTGAATAGGCTTCATGTGGATTTTGCAAAGTCACTCAAGACAATAACGAACAGTTTAAAAGCTGAAAAGTAATTCTGCTGTAAATATTACAGTAAACAGTAAAAAAGATGAAAATTTATATTTAAAAAGTAGTTCTAAAAAAAAAAAAAAAAGAGTACTGAACTGCTATATGATATCTGTCCTCCTGTATGGCAGTGAAGGCTGGACAGTATCCACAAAGATAAAGAAGAGACTTGTAGCAAGAGAAAATATGGTTCTACAGAAAGATGCTGAGGATACCTTGGGCCCAATTTGTGAGCGACGACGAGATTTTGAAAACAAAAAGGAAACTTATACTTAACATCAGAAAGAGGCAGATTAAAATTTTGGGTATGTAATGAGGAAGGAGAGCTTGGAAAATCTGATACTCGCAGGACAGATTGAGCGACAAAGGAAAACAACATATTTAATGAGCTTGAGTAAATGGATGACAGAACAGGATTTAGGAGAAATAAAAAGAAGACAAAACAAAACCTATTAAGAGCTACAAGGGACAGGAAGATGTGGAGAACCATGATCGTCTACATCCTGTAGGGACGAAGGAAGAAGAATTTTAATAATGAAAACAATTAATGTGAGAATCTCAAATTAGCAAGTCTCAAGAAAAAAATGCCATTGAATATATGAAAAAACATAAGCTTCGTTATGAAAATATATTTTTGGTCGAATTTTAAATAAACAAACAAATATGTCTGCCAATTCGCTAATATTTTTTGCAATATATATATATATATATATATATATATATATATATATATATATATATATATATATATATATATATATATATATATATATATATATATATATATATATTCTTTCTGATATGAATTCCGAAAAAATTTTTTTTTTCTACAGAACACTGAACCATTTTCTTTTTGGTAAAATAAGTTTCCAATAGCAAATTAAGTTTTGAATTTTAACATCTATCTATATTTCTGAGATGAGGTATTGTAAATATTTACACTATTTACATTGTTCGGACTGTTGACCTCATCTTTATTGTAATATTCACGACGTTTCGGCCTTTGTGCACTCTGGCCTTCTTCAGATGATATACGTTGGAATTTCGAACCGAACACTTTATTTAATCTAGTTAGAACAATCTACCCCAGTGAACTAAATAAAGAGTTCGCTTTGAAATTCCAACATATATCATCTGAAGAAGGCCGGAGATGACAATAAAGATGAGGACAACAGTTCGAGCAATGTAAATAATGTAAATGGAATCTTCAGAGAATTCCCATGATAATTTGATTTGGTTGATTTAGTGTAGAGGCATATCAACATCTCTATGGGTTATTTAATGCCGAAAATTGGAACACAATTTTATGGTTTCAACTAAATATATAGATAAAATGTATTGCTGATCATGTGTTATCGGTCTTTTTTATATAAAAATGCTGGTATTTTTATTCATAAAAATGTATTTTTATACTTCCATAGTGTTTTTGTCTTTTGGGAGAGGGTCACTGTTTGCCCATAGGTGGGACCCTAACAGGTATTACCACCCCAGATCAGGACGAACCTGGGAACAACAGCAATTAAGTGGTGTTTCCAGGCTACTCAAATTCTCCAGTCTCCTGATCAGAGGCCTTGCTGCTGGATGTAGTTTATCATCCTACCCAGGATACTCCCTATACTGCAAATCACTTTCATAAGACTGGGTATATAAAAAAATGTATACCGCTCGAAATTCAATTGAAACATACAAAGCACACAATGTATTTATGTCGAATAAACTCTAATTCGGGGGATCGGTCTGTATTCTCATCTAGCCTTTTATTGCTACTGAAGATTTTACAAGAAAGTTTTTATGTGGTGGAGTTTCTATCTTAATGCCCAAACAGTTTTGAATTGAAATTTATCCTTCTCTTAGACTGGCCACCAACGAAGGCTAGTGAACACTACCCCCTCCTTGCTAATAACCCCAATGCATTTACAAAGGGTGTTTGGGAAAAAGCGAACGATAGAGGGTTGGCTAGAATTATACTCAGTACGCCAATACCACATTCTACAGCGATGACCAATAAGCCACACGAATAGCCTCCGCATGAAATAAAAAATACTTGAAAATACTTTTAATCACGCTAAATATTACCTCTGGCTTTACGACAGGTGAATATTCGGACTTTAAAAAGTGAATTACTTCTACGGCATAAAAATGCACTCGAAGTTTTAAAAAAAAATCACGGATTTTAGAAATTGCCTAAAATATTTTAGAAGACCAGGAAATCTTTTTCTCAAGATAGCGAAAAACAAAACTGGAGTGGTTTGAGTGTTTTCGTAACAGCAGAGAGAAAACGTAAAAGCTTTTTTACATTGCAAGCATCATGGTGAACACAAAGACATTCCAATTTTAAAACAATTCACAATTTCAGCTAATTTAAAACGTACACAAACGAAAAGAAAACTTGTAAACATGGCTTCCTCCAGAAATGTCTACCCACTTTGTTTATAAAAGTATTCCCAGTTTTTACTTGAAAGTTAAACATCTTCATGTTAAACATACAACAAAATAAATAAATAAAATAAATAATGTTCTGATAAAGTTAAGAAAGGAAAGTTTTTGATGAATCTATCGTGGATATGCGTGCAGCGGAAAGTGAAATTGGCGTGCCGAGTCCGAATTTAGATAGAACCCGTTTGCGTTTCGTTTTCGCAGAAATATCCCTGAGAGATATTAAGCCACCTCTTCTCTATCTAGAAGTTAAATAGCCGAATAAGCTGAGCTCTCTAGTCTTACTAGGCAACCAACCCAAGAGAAGGACGTTTCTGAATTCAAAACCTGTTGGACGTGGGGTTGGCAACTGAACACAATAAAAACATACTTCTTACATTGTTATGTAGTGGTTTCACAGTGAAGGCTTGTATTTGTACTAAGTCGGTCCTAAAATAGGTTCGACGTACAAAACGTTAGGAACTTGATATAATAGGTAACGACGCAGCAATCTAGTTGTGGTGGCTGATACTTTAATATCCGACTAACGGTCGTCTGACATCGACTGACTGACCAACTTTCTGAGAGTATTTAGTCACCCCCCACGAGGGCATCATGTGGCACAAGGTCGGTTTAACGTGGGCTCGACCAAAAATATGGCCATTGAAGCCGTATAAAAGGGTTCAGGGTCGGTTTACCTCCCCGAAAGAGAATCCGCCCTTCGGCGTAGCCTCGTTCGGGTTCCTCCCCGCACGAAGGCAGAGAGTTCAACCGCTCAGCCAGTCGACTGACTGACCAACTCTCTGAGCGACTGATACTACTACTCCTACTTATTATAGGTGGTAGAGTCTATTAACTATAGAATAGGTGTGTTCCAGTATAACATACACAAAGTAGGGCCACAGCGACTGGCAGGTCGAGCTGCGGACCTATACTCCATAGGAGAGTCTATCGTGACGTTTTTTACAGTGGTGTTCACCTTGTACCAGGCACTTGAGCCACTCGACGCAGAAGGCTTATGCGGATATGTGCTGAAGATAACGGTTAACCTTAGACTTGAACAGATTAAGATTGTAATGATTGGGGAAGCATCCTCTTGGCAGTCGGTTTCACAGGGCAACGGTTGGTGAGAAGCTGGAACTTAAATCTTACCAGGGGCTTATGAAGGGAATGAGAGTGGTTTTCTATAACTTGCGTGGCATGGCGTGTCTTACACTATTTACATTATTCGGACTATTGTCCTCATCTTTGTAGCCATATTTATCACACCGTTTCGGCCGTTGTTCGCTCCGGCCTTGGTTGGAATGTCGAACTGAACTTTTTATTTCTCTCGCTGGGGTAGACTGTTCTAGTTCCACGTACCATGTCTAATGGATATCAATTATCAGTTATCTCCTGTTAATTTCCCTTTCAAAGTTCTCCACTGCCTTAACCAGGTATTGAACCCACAACTCTTTGGGTCATGTCATTGGATCTAACTAACGCCTTTATCCACTGTGCCATGTGTCTTAAAGTGCGAAAGTGGCGTAATAGATACTGACTCGGAATTTCTAATTGGAGAGCCGAGTACCAATTTCCGTTGGAATTTTTATATTCATCAACGCGTAAATACCATTCGATAATGTATGGATCAACTTCCTCTCTGCCAGCTATGAGTTAATTTATTTAATGAGGCTTGTATCTCTAAAACCATTATTATCTAAAAAAAAATAATTAAATAAAATTGAGTACAAAATCTTTTGATATCACCATTAAATATATGACATATCAACCATAGAGGTTGATATGCCGTTAAATAAAACCAATCAACCAAATCTTTAGGTCAAGCAGTCTTCGTATAAAAGGTCAAGCAATTGGACATTAACATAGTCGCTGTCAAAAACCAAACATACATACATCTAGATGGTGCTAGTGTTTGACTATTGAAAGAAGTGTCCAATGCCAGCTGGAAAAAAAAATATGCTCAAGGAAGAACTAGATGGGAACTTACCGAAGATTACGGTGGTAATTTATGAAAA